ATTGAGATTTGGACTTCACTAGTTAAACTGTACTGAGTGTTTTTGATTCACTTTAAGAAGCGGCTCATTAGAGTCATTTGATTGAGATTTGGACTTCACTAGTTAAACTGTACTGAGTGTTTTTGATTCACTTTAAGAAGCGGCTCATTAGAGTAATTTGATTGAGATTTGGACTTCACTAGTTAAACTGTACTGAATGTTTTTGATTCACTTTAAGAACCGGCTCATTAGAGTCATTTGATTGAGATTTGGACTTCACTAGTTAAACTGTTCTGAATGTTTTTGATTCACTTCAAGAAGCGGCTCATTAGAGTAATTTGATTGAGATTTGGACTTCACTAGTTAAACTGTACTGAATGTTTTTGATTCACTTTAAGAAGCGGCTCAGAGTCATTTGATTGAGATTTGGACTTCACTAGTTAAACTGTTCTGAATGTTTTTGATTCGCTTTAAGAAGCGGCTCATTAGAGTCATTTGATTGAGATTTGGACTACACTAGTTAAACTGTTCTGAATGTTTTTGATTCACTTAACGAACCGGCTCATTAGAGTCATTTGAATGGGAATCGGATTACGCTGTTTGCGCTGTATATTGTTCTATTATCTGTATGTTGTTGATTTATTATCAAGAGAACCAATTCATTAGAGTAATTTGTTCTGTAATCAGAATATAAAAAAGGCTCTTGGTTCTCAATCCTACTTGTTATTGATTCAGTAGAGTTTTAAGAAAACAACCGCAGCTTCAAAACTCATGTTTGAGGTATGACTGTGTAATAATTCATGTTGTGTTTTGCCATGGAAGCCCCAGCAGAGAAAGGGTTAAAGATAGTCACGTGAGAGAAATCCCAGAGGTCCTAGTGTCAATAATTCAGAAGCATCTGTATCATTTTACAAGCCATGCTTTGAAACACACAGGCTGCGTCTTATTGTGACAGGAAGTTTGAGGAATGCTTTGTGCCGCATCTGCCGCTCTCCCGAGTGTTTCCCTGTACTTATCCCACACATCTCCGCGTTCAAGCCAGGAACAGAAACCTCAGGACAGGAAGTGGGTGTAATCCGAGGGGTGTGACGATGGAAATATTCTAATGCTGGGAGGTTTATTTGTGGCCCAGAATCATAATGCCAATCATAATCACAATAGAGTGAAAGTGTCGGGAACAGAGAAATACTTGTTCCTCCCACCCGTCCCAAACTCCTCTGGTTTCTCACTAACCGTAGTTGTTCTCTCAGAGGTCAGCTGTGTTGAGTTGGTGGGACAGATGTGTGCTCCTGAAAAAAGTGTTCCTGTTCGCCTTTCTGAAATGATCGTGCTTAACCCTATGAAGAATGCTGTATCATATTTGATGCCTCTAAATTATCAATATGATCAAAACTGCTGAAAATCATCTTGTACACAATCTACAACATGCCTTCTGTCATCTGATTGATAGTTTATACTTTTTAAGCAAGTAAAAGGCTTTTTCGTTTAATTTTAAATCTCTTCAGGTTGTAGAACACATGACTTTCTGCTGTGAAATGTTTTCTCTTTTTTTTATGAATAATTTTTTGTATTGTTAGAGATAATTCAAGATGAACACCTACTGGACTGAAGCAACTTTAAAGTTTACTTGACTATCCATACATCACTTAATCATGTTAAAATGTGGCTTTTGAGAAACATTTATTTGTTCATCTCTCAATCCTCATTGCATAGCATTGCATTATATATTTTGCCTGCCACAATAAAAACTACAGGGCTTTGAGCATCAAACTATTTAACTCCTTCCTGCCATTGACGGATAATTGTTCAGATTTTCACTCAAAAAATATTCTGGGGGCCATGAAAATTTAGTGAAAATGAACAGAAATGCTGGCGGTGGCTGGCAACTAAAAAAGAAAAAAAAAAAGAAAACGCTGGCAGGGAAAGGGTTAACTTTCTTACTAAGACATATTATTGGGAGATATAAAGTGACAACTGATACTTATATGCATTTTATGTGAGTAGTCTCTTTAAGTTCTCAAGCTATCAGAATTTCATCTTACTTTTTGGCCTAATATTTACATGCAACTGGACCAATTTGCATATTTTTCCTCGATTTGGGGCTCAATTTTCCTCGTCGTGACCCATATTTCCTATATCATAATATATGAGGCGTAAAAGCCTGGTGTATAAAATTGTGATACTCAACATAAAACGTATGCTAACTTTTTAAAGATTTAAAAAATATATAATATTAACAATATATAATTATTAATATATTACATTAATATAACAGTTTTAATAAACTCTTCCAATTAATTTTTTTTTAAATTTTCTGACTATGTCAGGCTTCACAGGGTGTAAATAGTGAAGAAGCTATTTTAAACCTTTATACTTCCACAAAATACTCTTAATTTCCCTATATAGAAACTAAAGCTTTTATTTTTATTTTGCTTTCCACATGGACCTTAAGTTAGTCAGACGCACACTCTAAAATCTGAATTTTCCTTTTGGGGTGACGAAAGTACACCAGTCTGTCTATGTGTCTCGGAGGTGTTTCATTCTGTAAGTTCTGATATATGTATCATATAAGCACCATATTCAGACAGTGTCAGTATCGGAAATGCTGTAATCTGTTCTTCCTCCGAACAATGTGCCTTTGGGGGTCTTCTGTCTGCAGTCAGCGAGATCCACTTACATACGCCTGTCAATCAAACAACAAACAGACTGTGAGAACAACAACGTTCATCTGGAAGTTGATCTTCCAAGATCTTAAAACTTAGTTGTTGAGTAGTGCAGTAAAAACAGTGTCATTTGCAAGCATATTGAAATAGATCATATGCCATTTGTTAAATTAGCTAACAATATTTAGCTAAAAATATTAATAATTATATGTGTATATATATATATTTCTTACTGTGCAGAAAATGTAATGCTCTGGTCTTCAATGGACATTTGGTGAGTGAATAACCCTTTGTCCAGCAGTGTTTGTTTGTGTTTTTTGCTGTCTGGCACTCTTTATGAAATGGCATAATGGATCACACACTCCTGTAGGTGCCTAATGGACCTTGACCTTTGACCTTCACTGCCATTACTGCCTCTTGAATCCCCATAAAAAACACCTCGTAGATGTTCCTTGGTTTTAAATGATGTTTTCCTATTTTGCATTCACACGAGTGCTGCATTTTTTCTTATTATTAAATAGAGCAATCTTCTTTTCTTTGCACACAAACTGGGACATTTCCCTTTCGATTCGGTCAGATGCTGACTTTCATCTGCCATCTGCTAAGAGTCTGAATTTTCAACCTCCATATTAAACTGAATTTTTACATTGAACAGTAAAAGTCATCCTGGGTTCCTCTGCAATGGCATATTTCATTGTGACTTTAACAGATGCTTAAAACACACCATTAAACCAGATTCTTTCATTATATGGAGCGTTTGCCTGTTCAAAACTTCCTGCCACGAACTGATTATGACATGTTCATTATCACACTTTACTGTGGTTTCGATGGTGGCGTGATGATTATTTTTGCTCCCGTTTGAGAGTTCCTCCTCTGGCCCGCTGTTATTCAGACATCCAGCGTCTTTCTGCTCTTCTGATGACCCCGTTTTCAGTTTCGCAGGCACTACATTGAAAGACAACGTCCTACGTGGCATTGTTGTGTATTTTTTCCACTCTCTGTCTTGGATGAATAGCAGATTTCCCAGAATTCTTGTTATTGGTTAGTCGAAGCACATTTGTAACCTTCTATTGCACATTTTTATGAGGAAAACTCATAAATTCAAATCTAAATAGTGGAATTCTTTGTGAATTAACCCTGTATTTACAATACAAGACAAATATATTTTATTTTCTGTTAATTATCATGATTTCTGTGTTTAAGCAGTGGACTGATGGTTGATGATGCACAGGCATTGATAATAAATAAGATGTTACCGAAATGATTGCATTTAAATAAACACATTGTTCCAAATTGTAGAATTGTACCCGAAATTTATGCATTAACTTTCATTAATTATTGAAAATGATTCTCGGTGTTAATCAGCCAATCAAATTTATACATCTCTATATTTGAGCATTTGGAATGTGATTTTGTTGTGGTTTAATTTTTTTTTTACTTTGTTTATTTATTACAGGGACAGTGCATATTAATAAACATTTCTGTCAATATGCCAGAATTAGCCAAAAGGCTATTTTTCATCTGCAGTCCCTAGACAGATGGTAAAAAGTCACCCTAAAAGAGAGTAAAATGAAATATTTACATAACAATATAAATATAAATTTGACTGTAAACGGAGAGAGAATTTTCTGACATTGACTGAAACTGTGCATTTATAAAACTCAACATATCATCTAAATATTTTAAAACTCAACTAACAAAATAGACAAAGTGTTTTTCCGACCTAATATTTAACTTTAGCTTTCTTTGTATATAAGGGTGTGTTCACATTTGTAGTTTGGTTCACTTGAGCCAGACCAAAAACACAAAAAACATTTAGTCCTGGTCTGCTTAGCGTTCACATTGGCATTTTAAAACCCAACCTAAAGGCATAAGGATATGCCACAACCTGATTGGTCGGCTTTTATTATGTATATTTCGAGACTGAACTTACCAAACATCCAAAACAATGCTGTGTGCTGGGCTAAATGCGCTCGCTGTATGTGCGTAGCTACATATAATGCTATATTGACCACCTGAGAACTCGTGAAGAGCTTATAAAATGTCAAAACAGCGGTAGGAATCCCTAATTCACACACACAAACGGTGTGTGTTTTTGAGTCGTTTACATGTCTGTGGTCCGTGTTGCGTTCATATTTCATTCTAACCGCACCAGAGTGTGTTTGGACGTGGACTTGAGTCCCATCTCTTCAGCTGTTTCAGTCCACTTGTTTGGTGGCACCAGGGTTCAGAGGCAGCGTTCACATATGTTCAAGTGAGACGCAGTAACAGAGCAATCGCACCAGAGTTCGTTTTAATCCAACCAAACCTGCCAAGTGTGAACACACACCCTAAGAGTGTTTATTTCCCCTGTCACAGGAGGTTCAGCCCTCACCGGAGTCCTCGACACGGGATCCATCTGAGCTTGTACCGAGACTGTGCTTCCTGGTTCGGACTGAGGCGGGTTACGGCTTTAATCTGCACAGTGAGAAGTCCAGGCCGGGTCAGTACATACGGGCTCTGGACCCCGGGTCGCCCGCTGACCGCGCTGGACTCAAACCGCAGGACAGACTCATAGAGGTGAGACACGAACCATTCTGATTCTGCTGAAGCCAATTCTTATATTCCTCATGTAGTTAATCATTTTATCCCTTAAAACTCATCTTTGATCTCCAAAATGACATATTTAAACATTTTATCTTTGAGAAAAAATGCCTTAAAATATCTTGAATGTAACTCTACACCTTGCCTCATTTAGTATACACGGTCCTATGAATATGCAAATTAGCCCCGCCTCCACTCACTCGCACCAGCTCAGAGATCCACTCGTTGACGATCACACGTTGATCTGATTGGTTAAGGTAGTCTATGACGTCAGAAACACCAGCGATTTCAAACCGTGTTTTTGAGACTGTCTTTGGTTCACTGCAGTTTTAAAGAGAAAATACTCAGCAATGGTGTTGACTTATGAATTTACACATGGTTTGTCTTAAAGCATATTAAAAACACAGCTTAGACATATTAAACTAAGACATATTTCCACCACAGGGGGACTTTAAGCAGCTTGAAGCTCTTTCATTATAACATGGCTCTATCATATTTCTATAATTTACACACATGCATCAATATACATCTTTATGATGCCAGATATACACCCACATTTTCTAAATTCACTTCTACATTCACACTCGCACACAGACCAACCATCACATTCAGATGCATGTGGGCGGCATGTGATATGATGACTCGCACAAAAATATTTCTGTTCTTGAAAGACTGAGTCAAGCAAAATAACATAATGTTGAAACTTGCATTCGAGATCGATCGGCAGAGCTGAAAACATCCTTTATTGTCACAGAAATAAATGCAGTGTTCTCATAAGCTCCATTAACTCGTGAACCTCGTGATTTCGATGGATTTTAGTGCTGATTAAACACATTAGCTACATCTATTCATTGCTGTGTGCAAATGATGAACCATTATGAAATAAGAACGTGCTAGAACGTGTTTTTAAGGAAAACCTTTATATACTGATGATGAAAATAATAAAAACGACGCTCATTGTTTTACAGACATTTCACTTGTTATTGCAATCATCAATAGGTGAATCTCATGAAACCCTAATGTATGATTTTAAATGCCTCAAGATAATGTTGCAAAATAATTGTACGTGTTTTAACATATTTACATGACATTTCAGCACATTAATGTGAAAATATATATATGTATAGACGTTTTTTTATTAAAATCAGCATTATTTTGTTTATAATATAATTTAATTTATATAAATAATATATGTATATTTTATATATTTAATATTAATATATTTATATATTTTGGTGTGTATGTGTGTATATATATATATATATATATCATAAAATAGGTAATAAAAAGTTAGAGAACAGCATTTATTCAAAATAGAAATCTTTTCTAACAATAGAAATCTTTACTATCACTTTTTATAAATTTCACACATCCTTGCTGAATAAAAATATTAATTTCTTTCAAAAAAGAAATAAAAAATTACTGACCCCAAACTTTTGAACGGTAGAGTATATTGTTACAAAAGGAATATCGTTTACATAATAAATGCTGTTCTTTTTTAACATTTTATACATCAGAAAATCATAGGTTATGAAAAAGTACATATATTTATTTCCAACATTGATAATAAATCATCATATTAGTATGATTTCTGAAGGATCATGTGACACTGAAGACTGGAGTAATGTGTATATATAACATTGGAAAATATATATATAACATGACAATCATTACTGAGAATATTTTTTTTAAAGTAAACATGCAGATGCATTATACTATAAATTGAGAATTTGACACCAAAGTGTAACAAATGCAAAAAGTCTTAATTTCAGCAGTTCAGACCAACTTTCTCTCCATCTTGCAGTTGTTTGCAGCCTCAGTAAAAGAGTGCGAGTCCTGCCCCCTTCAGTTTTGAGAAGCGCACCTCTCTGTGCGTCCCTCGGGACACTGATACCTGAAACCCACACGGCCACAGCAACACGCTTCAATATTTGATGGTGTTCAGTTGAATAAAGCACACGGTCCATCTGTCCTCAGGACAAACACTCAGATTAAATCACCTTCAGCAGAAGGAGAGCGCGCTCGCGGGCCGCTCTCGTGCCCTTGTTTTTGTTTTGATTGATTTGGTTGTAATTTCGGTAAAATGTCTTCGCCGTCTCTCCTCTGTTCGACTGGTTGGGAACCTAATTCTACCACAAAACATGTTGCTAAGCAACCAGTAGCAGGGCGCTATAAGGCAAAAATGAGTGAACCGGTTTATCATGGGATGAATAAAGCTTTTACATGTGATTAAAGTCACTGAGGCAGAAGTGAAGATTCACCCCAGAATAATCTATTGATTAAAGGTTTTTATAGGTCATCACTGTAACTCTTCTCTCTTTCCACCACGAAATTACCATTCAAATGTTCCATGGAAAATGATATTTAGTTTTTGTATACCATGATGAAGTACTTTAAGGTACCATTTATATCATTTGTTTATAAATGTGGCAATCAAATATTACATGAAATCAGTTACACAAAAGTAACATGATTGTACAATGTGTTTTATTTATTTATTTATTAATCATTTATTTATTTAAAATAATTGAGACATTTAAAATAATTGAGACGGTTAAAATATAAATTACTATATATATATAAAATATAAATGCTTGTGTGTGTGTATAATTATCGATTAATCGCATCTAACATAAAGTTTGTGTGTGTGTATATATGTGTGTGTGTATATATATATATATATATATATATATATATATATATATATATATATATATATGTATGTGTGTATATATATATATATATGTGTGTGTGTGTGTACTGGTATATACAAACTTTTAATTTATGACTAAACTATATATGATATATACACATACATATATAAACTATATATGATATACTATATATTTATATAACTATAAAGTTATAACTATATATATATAGTTATAACTTTATAGTATGTATATGTGTATATATATATATATATATATATATATATTAAATATATTAAATTCAAGATATACAAATCTATTTAAAAGTTGTTTTGGACATGTTACCATAGTAATACCATAGTTTTTGGATGCTACCATGAAACTAATATCATTGTATTGTTTGAAGTTCATTGTAGTACAAAATAAATATTGTTTATGAATATGGTAAAACATGGTAAAAGAAAAAGGGTCAATGCAATGTTTATGTTGTTGTACAAAAACGTTTGTAGCTGTTCTGTTTTGAAGTCCTAACTCTTGCTGTATTAAAACTGCAGGTGAATGGAGTGAACATTGAAAACATGAGACATGCTGAAGTTGTGGCCTTCATCAAGAACGGTGGTAACGAGACGCGTTTGCTAGTGGTGGATCCAGATACAGATGAGCATTTCAAGAAGATGGACATCACCCCCACCACCATCCATGTCAAAGGTACGGTTGAAGAATTCACTGAGGATAGTTCACCCAGAAATGAACATTCATGAGCTGTAAAGGCAAGTCAAACGTGTCTGTACATCAGGGGCGTTTCCTCCGAGGAGGCCAGGGAGAAGGTGTCTCCTCAAAAATAAACTGGATGAGAAAATCCACATTAGAAAAATAAAACGTAAATATTACAAAATGTGAGATTAAAAAGTGTAAAAGTCATAATAAAGTAACAGTGTCCAACAGTGACACCTGCAGGTAAAGTTACAGTGGGACGCTGTGTCTCTCTTGCCTCCCCTGATCCCGTTGACTTAAAGGGTTAGTTCACCCAAACATTTAAATGATGTCATTAATGACTCACCCTCATGTCGTCCCAAGCCCGTAAGACCTCCGTTCATCTTCGGAACACAGTTTAAGATATTTTAGATTTAGTCCGAGAGCTTTCTGTCCCTCCATTGAAAATGTATGTACGGTATACTGTCCTTGTCCAGAAAGGAAATAAAGACATCATCAAAGTAGTCCATGTGACATCAGTGGGTTAGTTAGAATGTTTTGAAGCATCGAAAATACATTTTGGTCCAAAAATAACAGAAACTACGACTTTATTCAGCATTGTATTCTCTTCCGGTTCTGTTGTCGATCCGCGTTCAGTGACGCTGCTGACGTGTGTCTGGTGCGTCCGTGTATTCGGGTTCAAATAAATATGGCTGGGCAAAAGAATGCAAGTCTTCCTCTGTGTCGAAATCCTTAGACATGTTTGCGAAGATTGTTTTGTTTACAGCGTGCGTCTCCCTCAGACTGTAAACGAAGCTCGGACGCACCAGACACACGTCAGCAGCGTCTTACGTCATCAGCGTCACTGAACGCGGATCGACAACAGAACCGGAAGAGAATACAATGCTGAATAAAGTCGTAGTTTTTGTTATTTTTGGACCAAAATGTATTTTCGATGCTTCAACACATTCTAACTAACCCACTGATGTCACATGGACTACTTTGATGATGTCTTTATTTCCTTTCTGGACAAGGACAGTAAACCGTACATACATTTTCAATGGAGGGACAGAAAGCTCTCGGACTAAATCTAAAATATCTTAAACTGTGTTCCGAAGATGAACGGAGGTCTTACGGGCTTGGGACGACATGAGGGTGAGTCATTAATGACATCATTTTCATTTTTGGGTGAACTAGCCCTTTAAAACAGACCCCCTAAAGCATGCGGTGGGTTTAGTGGGGGGTAATGGAGAATGAATAGGGGAAAGTCACATGAGAGGAGGCAATGCCTCCATCGTGCAGTGATTGGATATGATCAGTTATGATCAATGAATCCTGCAATAAAATCCTGGCTCTCGTTTTTGAATGAATGAATGAAGATAATGATGGTGTTAATGTAAATAGCTTGATGACTTGATGACTGCTGATATATATATATATATTTGGCTGGAAAGTTTGGAACAATTTGATTTTTAAGGTGTTTAAAGTATGTTCACCAAGATTGCATTCATTTGTTCAAAAATATAATACAGTAAAAACTAATAGTATTTGAAATATTCCAATTTAAAATAGCTGTTTTCTATGTGTGAATATATAGTAAAATGTAAACTGTATTTTCAGCATCATTACTCTAGTCTTCAGTGTCACATGATCCTTCAGAAATCAGTCTAATATGATGATTTGATGATCAAGTATTGTTATTAATGGTGGTTCTTCATATTTAGTTTAGTAAGTGCAGCCTTGACTTCCTCTTCCTGGGATTTGAGGGGGAGTTTGTTGTTTTTTTGGTTTTTCCTCTCTCAAGGCCCTTCACTATAGAGAACTGAACGGGCATCAAAATCTGGGCTGTAGGCCATTGTGGAAACTCTTGTCCATGTCTGTTAGCCAGCAGTCCCGCTTCTGACATGTGGCTCAGATTAAAGTTAAATTGAGTCGAACACTTTAAACAGGCTATTGACATCTCTCGGATAATTGTTATTTGGCAGGATCCTGATTCGGCCCACCGGCAGGTCGTTCCAGCCCAATCCACTTGCTTTTCCAGCCACTGTTTTCTTTGTATCATTTTCATGCATTTCATCCCGGATCAGTAAATCTTCTGCGTCAGGTCTTTGAGCGTCAGGTGACCCAGATTAGCCCGAACAGGCCACGGATGTGTGCTGTTTTTACACACAGCTCAGCTCAAGGTTTCCAGCTGTAGCAATGGTCTTCTCATCACAGCATCTCTCTCCCACATGCACGATATATTGATAAACTGTATGTTTATGGCTGTTTTTCTGTTCAACGTCAGCCACGATGAACAGTGACCTGAGCTTTGGTTCTTCTTCTTAAAACAGATTTTGACGAGTCCATAACTAACGGCTCCTCCAGCCCACACGTGAACGGGACGTCTTCGCGATCCACATACTCAGACGGCAGCAGTCAGGACACAAACATACAGGTGACCATTTTCACGAGAAACAAAACCTGCATCTGCAATTAATGCACAAAATGTGTTCACTCTTCAAAATAAAGGTTCTTTATTGGCATTAATGGTTCCATGAAGAACCTTTAAACATCCATGGAATTTAAAATGTGTGTGTATTTCATTTAATGCATTCAACATAACATTCAAAAACACATTTTACATGTCAGCTAATTTCTAAAAAAGCTCCTTAAGATAACAACTGCACATTTTCACATATTACATTAGATGTATAACATCTGTAAATAAAATATACTAAAGACTTGGCATGTTAAGAAATAAATGGTTATAATAGCATTTGATCTCTCTCTCTCTCTCTCTCTCTCTCTATATATATATATATATATACACTGTATATATATAAATAATTTACATGCACATATAAATACAGTATGTATATATATATATATATATATATATATATATGTGTGTGTGTGTGTGTGTGTGTGTGTGTGCATTTAGTGCACAAAAGTGCATTTTCTGGCTTTTTGCAGCTGTGTCCATGTGTTAAGTGTGTATTTCTGCATTGCAGTTCTCGAGGGAGAGCAGCAGTCATCATCTCGACCCGTTTGAAGAAACAGGTCTGTGTTTGAGCCCCACGGCGGCGGAGGCTAAAGAGAAAGCGCACGCCAAGCGCGCCAGAAAGAGAGCGCCACAGATGGACTGGAACAAGAAGCACGAGATTTTCAGCAATTTCTGAATCTTCTTCCCAGAACCCAGTGAACCCCAAGACCCCCCCAACCCCAACCCCAACCCTACATGTGTTGCATTCAACGCCCTGGACACGTGACTGCTTTTAATGGGGAAAAAAAAAAGGCACCTATTTTTGTAGAAAAATGAAAACTTGAACTATATAAAGTTGAATAACTCACCCGGAGGGGAGAATGTAAGTTACACAATCAGACTTCTGTCATGTAAATGTCTTGAAAAGCCAGCAGAGGGAAAAGCGATGGTCAGGCTGTTCATATAGAGAGATTTCTGCGTCATTTTGTTTTCATGCTGTTTATTCGGCTGCACTTCTCCATACAGGTAACAGTAATATATACAGTGGAATATCAAAAGCCAAACGAGACTGCATATGGATGGACTACCACAGCATACGGACTCGACGGAACAAAATCATCTCATCCCATGTAGAAGAACCAAAATAATGAAGCTTATTTTATGTCGTACATGTTTTATGTGAATCATCAGTGAATGAGAACTGTACTTTTGCCAAAGACACAACCTATAATCAACCTGATCAGCTGATGTCTTATGCTTTTGGATTGTTTTGAAGGGACGTGCCACTGTTGGAAATCAACTGAATGAACTTACTGAGATTCTTAAAAGGAAGAAAGAAACAGGAGTGACCCAGAAAGTGGAGTATGGAAGGGAATTGCACTTCTCTTCTTCACCACCAGAGGGCGGTGCACTCTTGGTCATTGTTAAAGAAGTCGGAATATATGTTCAACCACCAGAGGGAACATCACAACACACGCCACTGTCTTACAGACTTGCAGGAGTGAAACTTTTGAATTGAACACGTGCAAAGTTGCAAAATATGCCACAAAGAGTCATTGCTTCGTGTGTTGTCTACTGGTGCATTCTGGGACATGGATGGATACTGACAAGACAGATGGCATGCAAGAAACCGAATCGGTTTAGGAAGAAAAGTAATAAACCTCGTAAAACGATAAAGACGTACATCTTATCTACACAGAGTTTGAGGAACAGATGTAACAGTATTGATGCTGAACTTTCTGCATAAAGACAGCTGGATATACACATCACTGACTCGCAAACTCATCTCAGACACGGCTGATTGGGATATATAGGATTTATTTAGGTACCGTTAATAATGCAGACAATCTTAAAAGCTTTTAAGAGAGCGCTATATGCATTTACTGCACACATATTGTGATATACAGCATCAGCATTACTATTATTCATCTTAATAATTCATGATACCGTACATTCCATGTTTGCAATTTAGTATTAATGTAGTTAAGTAGATCCTGTTGTTTTCTTTCCTGTTGCTCCCCTATGCCGCCATTGAGCACTAATGGGAAATCATCTCCTATCAGAAATATTCATATTAGTATTATTTTTTTTTTTCAATAAAGCGTGACGCTTACATTCCGAATAAGATTGCTGTGGTAATATTTTATAAAGCTTTTTTGTAAATGACACTTCTGTTAACTTCACGTCTCCTGGGTTCTGGGTTGGCAGCCGTTGTGTGAAAAAACACCTTCGCAGGATTTACTGATAATGTAATATAACACAATATATAGCATTATTAATGTGTAAAAAAATGTTTAAAAATATGAAAAAAAACGTTTCTAGATTTGCGATGTTGATAACTAACATGTGATCACAGTCTGTGAAAAGGCAAAGCAGATGCTGATAATCACAAAATGGCCAAATATCAGCCTAAATCTATCAGTTTATCACTCATTTGCCAGAATATACAGTGTTATTTCAAACAAATGGTCTTGGTCTAACTTATAATTAATGGCAACACTGTAATATCACTAAAATAAATAGTAACTGAAATTTTGGCATGTTTTTTTAATACCTTCCTTTAGGCTACTGAACCAAAAAAAATTATATATAAAGTCAATCATACAGTTATTTTACAAATATATTCAGAAATATAGGCTATATGCCACATCTACATTACCTAACTGGATTCTGGATCGAGTGATGCGTGCTGCCATGATGCTTTATGCCGTTGCTAAGGTGTTCTAATGTTTTGTTGTGTTGCCGGGGTGTTGTGTGGGATTGCTAGGCGGTTACTTTTCAAAAGTAACCAACCAAATCTCTATCACTGTAAAATATATTCAAGTATAATGCACAAGACATTTCAACTTTTTTTTTTAAGTCTTGCTTAGTTGAAAAAATGAAGTTGAAATTGGTTGAATTATTTGAGTTAAAGTAATGGAATAACATACGTTGTCATGACTTATTGATCATATAATTTTTTTACAGTTCCTAACCACAAGTATGAGCAATTGATGCTTGTATAACACCACTAATGATATAATCAACAATGATTCACATTAATTTTGTACTTTGTAGATTACATTACTCCCACAAACACTCCTCCATTCACACAGGCTTTTCGTCCGTAAGCTTTCTAGACGTTCACTTTGTCCGAGACGGGCACAAGCAAACGTGTCCAACATGATGACACCCATATGAGCCATAAAGGATATTTGAGCGGATCTTTCAGTCTTTAGATTAGAGACAGGAGTGTCTGTTTGCACTGAAGAAGACGAGCTTCAAAAACCTGAGCAATATAATCATATAGACGAAAATGACTGATCTCAAAGTGGACTTCGCAGACAGACTGATAAAACAAGACCACAGGAATTACCCAACTCGTGTCACTTATAATGTTTTACAGTGTATATGATCAATAAGATATGGCAAAATGTGTTTTTACATTAGTTTAACTCATTAAAAAAGTAGAAAATTGCTTATTTTGATAAGTTATACATGATTAAACTCGGTTTTTAAAGTCCGTTTAATGTAATTTAAGTTTAAATTACTTAAACATTCAAGTTGATTGTACTTAAAAATTTCAGGCAGCAACTTTTTTTTACAGTGTAAATGGAGTTTTTGAACAATGAACCTTTTTGTTCTTTTTTAAATTTAGCATGCAATGAAAAGACGATCAACTTGCCCATTACAAGTCAGCATGTGTGCCTAACAGGGATTTTATTTCTTTTGCTGAACAAAATAAATGCCTCATAATCCCTGAAAACACTTTAGAATGGTGCAGAAAGTTGTAAAGTCTGCGTAACCAGAAGGACCGGCGGCAAGAACCGTAAAAACGCAGTTTACTGTCATGCTTGTCTGGAAGTGTAATGCATTACTGGAGGCTTTGACTGTATAGGGCAAAAACCTTCACAACAACATTTGTTTGGACGCACACACAATCCATAAAGTAAACCCCAAGAGTATTTGACAGTTGAGTCAGACTTCAACGTCAGATGTTGGTGCATCAGATCAAGTGTCTATATCTCAAATACTGCCTTCACTAACAGTGATTTTAGTTTTAACCAGCTGGTGTTTGTAAGTTGGTGCATGAGGTCCTCATGTTCACACAGGTGTAGCTCATCATTATACAGACAAGATCCACAACATGTCCATATACTTCTTTATTTTATTATTATTATTTTATTATTTTAAATGCTTTGCTTGAGAAGTGTTATGGTATCTTTCGTTTACAATTAAAATAATATAATTATAAATATATAAATTATATTTTTATTTAAATTACATAATTTAGTTAGTGAATATATAGAAAGTTAATGTTTTAGTTAAATTAAAATAATTTATTTCAAAATTTTAAATAAGCCTTTAATTTTTTTTAAATAAAAAACATTCTATTTTTGAAAGTAAACCATATATATATATATATATATATATATATATATATATATTTATTTACAAATACAACCTGGGTGTACATTAGGATAAACAATAATAAAACCAAAAGATGGAAATAAAGCATAATAAGGTAAATAAAAAAATGAACGTGTTAATATATAGAAAGTTAATGTTTTAGTTAAATTAAAATAATACTTTATTTCAAAATTTATTTTTTTAAATAAAAAACATTAATTCTATTTTTGAAAGTAAACATATATACACTACCGTTCAAAAGTTTGGGGTCAGTGAGAATTTTATTTTTATTTTTTGGAGGAAAGAAATCAATACTTTTATTTATCAAGGAATAATTAATTTGATCGAAAGTGACAGTAAAGACATTTATAATGTTACAAAAGTCTTTTGAACTTCCTATTCATCAAAGAATCCAAAAAAAAAAAAAAAAACTGTACAACTGACAGACCAACAACTGTTTCAACATTGATAATAATAATAAATGTTTCTTGAGCATCAAATCCTCATATTATACTGATTTGTGAAGGATCATTTGACACTGAAGACACTGACACTGGTGATGCTGAAAATTCAGCTTTGATCACAGGAATAAATTACACTTTACTATTCACACAGAAAACAGCTGATTTACACTGGAATAATATTTAATACTATAACTGATTTTTGTTGTATTTTTAATCAAATAAGCGCAGCCATGGTTAGCAGAAGAGAATTCTTTTAAAAGTATTTAAAATCGTACCGACCCCAAACTTTTGAACGGTAGTGTGTATATATATATATATATATATATATTTACAAATACAACCAGGGTGTACATTAGGATAAACAATAATAAAATCAAAAGATGGAAATAAAGCATAATGTTTGCATTAAAAAAGTAACACATTTAACAGCTCTCTATTTTTCCAAGTTTAATATTGTTTTATGGTATTGTTGAACTATTGTCTGCCTTGAAAATGAACAACAAAGGCTCATTTCCCCCATATGTACATTTATATGGGGCCCACTAAATTTAGCTAACAGAAGTATGTAATATTTCTTATTAAAAGACATGTCCAAACTAAGTTGAACCATTATTAAACATTTTCAAAACACAGTTGAAAGCGGGGCATGGTAAATGAACAAAAATGTGATCAATTAAAACAAAGAAACAAGCCAAATGAGTAACGTTAGAACTCCAAAATAAATAATAGCATGTTTCTGCATGTAAACCACAAAATGTGCCAAATATATCAATATTACAATTTGGTTTGTTTTCACATGTACTCTACGTATATTTGTGCAGTTGCAATGTTGTATTTTGAGTTCAATCTACGCAGAGTTGGGCATACATACATGGAAATGT